CTTCGCTCATATGTGACTCGGCCAGAATGACTTTTTTTTGGCCCCCTGTACATCCGCTTGGCGCTTGTGCCACAGGCGCCGGCTAATTTCCTGAACTCTAGTGTCATAACCGCTTGGTCCTAACTGTTTGGCGCCCGTGCCATGGGCGCTGGCGCCAAACCCTCGATCACCAAAATTGTTGAGCACTTGTATCCTGCTTGACATCCTGATTACGAGTATGACGTCCATTTTTTTCTGCGCCGGCGCTAATGGACTCTACGATCACTCTGCTAAGGCTGGCGATTCGTGATTAGGGCATCGAACCACACCACCCCATGCATGTTTTTATCAATTTTGGCGAAAACTGGGGTAGCGCCAAATTGGCACCAAATGGCACCGAACGGCGCCATGGCTAGGAATGAATGTTACATTCGTGATCAGGGCACCGAGAAACCCCATTATGCAAGTTTATACAGATTTTTTTGGGAAAGGTCGTGTCGCCAAAGTGGCGCTAGTGGCGCCAAATTGGCACCTAATGGCGCCAAATGGCGCCATGGCTAGAAATGAATGCCACTTTCGTGAACAGGGCACTGAATAGCCCCAGTAAGCAAGTTTATACAGATGTTGTTGAGAAAAGTTGTGGCGCTAAGGTGTCGCAAAGTGGCGCCAAATGGCGCCGGCCAAAACCCAATGTCGTAGAATATGAGCATACCCTCGGATACAGCTCGGCGAGCTGATTCTAGCCATATATGGGTATCCATACAACAAAAAGTCAACAGGAACAGCTCTATAACGAAAAAAACGAAAAAAACGCGGATTAGGCGTTTTTTCGTAATTTTTTGAACACTTACGATGGGTACTGTACGCAAACCTCCCCCCTACTACCCTGCTACGAAGTTCGACACCAAAAGCAGGCCATCACCCAACCACAAGGAGAACCACTTACCGTAACCTAGTCCGAACTTCGAGACCATCTGGAACCTAACTGCTGGAGCAAATCGGACTGCTCCTCATTGTAGGTGCACAGCGAAAGCCCAGAATTTTCAAGCTTATTTTGCTCAGTTCAAGATGAGAAAAAAATCGTATTTATTGCACAATGTTATAACTTTTAGCATACACTACAGTATGAGCAATTTAAGGAAACCATTAGGCTCATTATCATACGAAGTAAACATAGTCGAAGCTAGCAACGTCTAGTGTGGCGTTTCCAAATTAAAGCGGTAACCTCAAAAAAAACCCTCAAAACTATGACAAGTTTCACAACACCAGTACTAATGACAAAGTTCTGAGGTTGCCAGCTGCTGGTGCGTCACGCTTGCCCGTGAGTGACGCAGCGCCCTGTGCGCGCAACATTCCGTGCACCGGGACCTATTTATTCAATAAAAAAAGCCACCAACACCTCAATACTATCCATCTACAAAACTGCTAACAGACTGTGAGCGTCGTTGCAACGCGTGGGATCTCCAACAGGCAGCCCACCTTTAGAGAAGGAGAAGTAATGGAAGTATACTTCCCGAAAACGTTAGTTTTGTACGCTTGCACTGTGACGGAAAAAGTTAACTCTTTTGTGCAGTTATGCAGAAATCCATATCTAGGGCTAAACGGCCGGGATAAAGCATGTGCTGACGTTCTACTGCAGAGGTTCAGGCTCTGCAAAAAAGTGAGAGGTCGTGTTAAGCAGGGACAATTTCTCTCCGCCACCCTCGGCTTTGCATGCAACTAACACACTGATATAGGAGTAGAAAAACATTAAATTACTTATGGCAACTGAGAGAAAGGGAACAGACAATAGGGAAGAAAGCAGTACATTCACGAAGCTTTTCAATTGAAAGGAACACAATGTACCTACTGAGGATCCCGATAACCCAATGGCTAAGTTAAGGGAAGATTAGTTTACACGTAAATCACATATGTGCATGAAAATGGATAAAACTGTTCAGAACAATGAGAAATTCGATCCATAGTAGCGACTGATCAGCTTAGATACAGGGGTCGCTAGAGTGAGAAATGCAAAACCTGCACCCATTGCGACCATCGGCGATGCACCCACAGCGGATAAGGCAGAACCCAGAAGCAGACTTTTCACAGCGACAGCCTGAAATTTATTTATTTATTTATTTATTTATTTATTTACACCATAAGGTGTGCCACAAATTGCTACACTATAATAAACTCGTTGAAAATTAATATTTCCACTAAACATTAAGGCAGAGAGAAGGAATAGTTGATCTTTAGGCCAAGAAGCCACTGGAAAATCAGATATAACTATAAGGCTGCTTCTTTCTTTTGAAATTGAAAAAAGCAGGTCACGGGCAGATCGACGCAGCCGCGGAAGTTACGCCGGTTCATTGAAATACTGGCAGTATGAGACAAGACAATCGTAGTTCGCCGCGCTGATGGGCGTGGTGTGCTAAGTAGCGCCCGCACACTCTGGTTTGTGGAAGGCGACAACAGACACTGTATGACCGAAAAAGCCATGTGCAAGACGTCGTCGCCTGTACGAAATCCGGTACTCCAAGCGACAGTCTCAAGAAAGCGCAGCGCTCATCGCTGCGCGCGACAAAGCGGCAAATCACGATTGTCTTGACCGTCTCCGAAATACTGTAGCCCTTTCCGATCTCTCAACGATAATGGATGGCTTCACCTTTTGGTGAAGATAGAAGCAGTGATGAAGGGTTTGTTCAAGCTTGTACAGGAATATTTCAGGAATTATTTTGCATGGCTCTCTCACCAACTGTTCCGGTGCAGATGCTGGGGCATGTTAGGGAGGGGGGGGGAAGCGCCAACCCTTTCTCCACCGATTTCCTAAGTGGGCGAACGACAACAATTGGTGCATAGTCGGCTGGCGCCGCACCAAACAGGATACATACACTCCATATCCTGAAAATATGGAGGGCGTGGCCGAACTATTTCATTTGTTTTTCACGGCATTTTAGTATTTGTGGCTACTGTTATCCTGTCTTGCGCTAGCAAAGACATGATCACAAATTTCCCAAAAAGGAAATGTCTCACAAAAGGCACAGCCGTTGGCACCTCCAAGGAAAGGGCACAGCATCAGGATATGAAGCGTAGTTCTAGTATAGCCGCTCGACTGCCTCTAAGGCAGGCACAAGAGGCCAAATTATGTTCTTTCGATTGAACGTTCACAAGAACCAACCTGTCCACTGATCCTATTTCCATAGCGACACCATTTCACAAAATGTTCACAGTTGTTCAGAAAGATGTTATAATTTCCAGAACCCAGCTGAAATATAGACTGTAGGAGCTGCAATCCGAAGAAGTGTAGCCGTTTTCGCAGCAGACGCTGGGACGTCAGTGGGGTTGCGTTTGGCGTGAGACCGGCCCGTTTTCCACCAATTGCACTCGCCTGCCCGCTTCAACAACCGGTGGAGAACGGGCGCCAAATCCAACCCTGCCCCAGCGTCTGCAGCGAATACGAATTTATGTCCATTGCCCCTGGGTCAGGAGATCAGAATAAAGCGGCACGGTAAAAACGAGCGTTGCGGACATATCTGCACCCAGGAAACAGCCCGCGATGTGTGGAATGGTGGTGTCAGTACCACCCCCCCCCCC